ATTAAATATTAAAATGCTTCATCAATTTTAACTATGAAGTGAACATAGTAAATATTGAAAATGTAATTATAATTTTTTTTTAAATAGTACCTTGCATAAAGCAATGCACCATTATATTTGATTGTACATGATAAAAACTGTTTGAAAATTTAAAAACTACACTGAATTGCATTATCAGCTAAACTACACTATCGAAATATTTCAGACCTATAATGAAATATATTGAAGAAATAATTAAACAAAGGTGGAGATTTGTGCTGCAAAATATCTGATGATATGGAAATGTTTATATTAATAGAGATGATAAAATCATATTTATGATAAAGTCTCATAACGATAGACTTTCAAATAAAGTGAGTAAGAGAAATTTCTATCTGATAAGGCTTTAACAGCAGAATAGCACAATAAATAACAATAGCACAATAATTTTGTTGAATCATAAAAATATCTATCGAAAGCGTAATTTCCTATTAGAGATAGCAAAGTTATTAAAATCTCTACTACTTTTGTTTTTTATAAAATATTAACTAAAATTTTAAAATATCCATAGAAATATCTATTGAAAGCGTAATTTCCTATTAGAGATAGCAAAGTTATTAAAATTTCTACTACTTTTGTTTTTTATAAAATATTAACTAAAATTTTAAAATATCCATAGAAATATCTATTGAAAGCGTAATTTCCTATTAGAGATAGCAAATTTATTAAAATTTCCACTACTTTTGTTTTTTATAAAATATTAACTAAAATTTTAAAATGTCCATAGAAATATCTATTGAAAGCGTAATTTCCTATTAGAGATAGCAAATTTATTAAAATTTCCACTACTTTTGTTTTTTATAAAATATTAACTAAAATTTTAAAATGTCCATAGAAATATCTATTGAAAGCGTAATTTCCTATTAGAGATAGCAAAGTTATTAAAATCTCTACTACTTTTATTTTTTATAAAATATTAACTAAAATTTTAAAATATCCATAGAAATATCTATTGAAAGCGTAATTTCCTATTAGAGATAGCAAAGTTATTAAAATTTCTACTACTTTTGTTTTTTATAAAATATTAACTAAAATTTTAAAATATCCATAGAAATATCTATTGAAAGCGTAATTTCCTATTAGAGATAGCAAATTTATTAAAATTTCCACTACTTTTTTTTTTTTATAAAATATTAACTAAAAATTTTAAAATGTCCATAGAAATATCTATTGAAAGCGTAATTTCCTATTAGAGATAGCAAATTTATTAAAATTTCCACTACTTTTGTTTTTTATAAAATATTAACTAAAATTTTTAAAATGTCCATAGAAATATCTATTGAAAGCGTAATTTCCTATTAGAGATAGCAAAGTTATTAAAATCTCTACTACTTTTGTTTTTTATAAAATATTAACTAAAATTTTAAAATATCCATAGAAATATCTATTGAAAGCGTAATTTCCTATTAGAGATAGCAAAGTTATTAAAATTTCTACTACTTTTGTTTTTTATAAAATATTAACTAAAATTTTAAAATATCCATAGAAATATCTATTGAAAGCGTAATTTCCTATTAGAGATAGCAAATTTATTAAAATTTCCACTACTTTTGTTTTTTATAAAATATTAACTAAAATTTTAAAATGTCCATAGAAATATCTATTGAAAGCGTAATTTCCTATTAGAGATAGCAAATTTATTAAAATTTCCACTACTTTTGTTTTTTATAAAATATTAACTAAAATTTTAAAATGTCCATAGAAATATCTATTGAAAGCGTAATTTCCTATTAGAGATAGCAAAGTTATTAAAATCTCTACTACTTTTTTTTTTATAAAATATTAACTAAAATTTTAAAATATCCATAGAAATATCTATTGAAAGCGTAATTTCCTATTAGAGATAGCAAAGTTATTAAAATTTCTACTACTTTTGTTTTTTATAAAATATTAACTAAAATTTTAAAATATCCATAGAAATATCTATTGAAAGCGTAATTTCCTATTAGAGATAGCAAATTTATTAAAATTTCCACTACTTTTGTTTTTTATAAAATATTAACTAAAATTTTAAAATGTCCATAGAAATATCTATTGAAAGCGTAATTTCCTATTAGAGATAGCAAATTTATTAAAATTTCCACTACTTTTGTTTTTTATAAAATATTAACTAAAATTTTAAAATGTCCATAGAAATATCTATTGAAAGCGTAATTTCCTATTAGAGATAGCAAATTTATTAAAATTTCTACTACTTTTGTTTTTTTATAAAATATTAACTAAAATTTTAAAATGTCCATAGAAATATCTATTGAAAGCGTAATTTCCTATTAGCGATAGCAAATTTATTAAAATTTCCACTACTTTTGTTTTTTATAAAATATTAACTAAAATTTTAAAATGTCCATAGAAATATCTATTGAAAGCGTAATTTCCTATTAGAGATAGCAAATTTATTAAAATTTCTACTACTTTTGTTTTTTTTATAAAATATTAACTAAAATTTTAAAATGTCCATAGAAATATCTATTGAAAGCGTACTTTCCTATTAGAGATAGCAAATTTATTAAAATTTCTACTACTTTTTTTTTTTATAAAATATTAACTAAAATTTTAAAATGTCCATAGAAATATCTATTGAAAGCGTAATTTCCTATTAGAGATAGCAAATTTATTAAAATTTCTACTACTTTTGTTTTTTTTATAAAATATTAACTAAAATTTTAAAATGTCCATAGAAATATCTATTGAAAGCGTAATTTCCTATTAGAGATAGCAAATTTATTAAAATTTCCACTACTTTTGTTTTTTATAAAATATTAACTAAAATTTTAAAATGTCCAAAGAAATATCTATTGAAAGCGTAATTTCCTATTAGAGATAGCAAATTTATTAAAATTTCCACTACTTTTGTTTTTTATAAAATATTAACTAAAATTTTAAAATGTCCATAGAAATATCTATTGAAAGCGTAATTTCCTATTAGAGATAGCAAAGTTATTAAAATTTCTACTACTTTTTTTTTTATAAAATATTAACTAAAATTTTAAAATGTCCATAGAAATATCTATTGAAAGCGTAATTTCCTATTAGAGATAGCAAAGTTATTAAAATTTCTACTACTTTTTTTTTTTTATAAAATATTAACTAAAATTTTAAAATGTCCATAGAAATATCTATTGAAAGCGTAATTTCCTATTAGAGATAGCAAATTTATTAAAATTTCTACTACTTTTGTTTTTTTTATAAAATATTAACTAAAATTTTAAAATGTCCATAGAAATATCTATTGAAAGCGTAATTTCCTATTAGAGATAGCAAATTTATTAAAATTTCTACTACTTTTGTTTTTTTATAAAATATTAACTAAAATTTTAAAATGTCCATAGAAATATCTATTGAAAGCATAATTTCCTATTAGAGATAGCAAATTTATTAAAATTTCTACTACTTTTGTTTTTTTATAAAATATTAACTAAAATTTTAAAATGTCCATAGAAATATCTATTGAAAGCGTAATTTCCTATTAGAGATAGCAAATTTATTAAAATTTCCACTACTTTTGTTTTTTATAAAATATTAACTAAAATTTTAAAATGTCCATAGAAATATCTATTGAAAGCGTAATTTCCTATTAGAGATAGCAAATTTATTAAAATTTCTACTACTTTTGTTTTTTATAAAATATTAACTAAAATTTTAAAATGTCCATAGAAATATCTATTGAAAGCGTAATTTCCTATTAGAGATAGCAAATTTATTAAAATTTCTACTACTTTTCTTTTTTTTATAAAATATTAACTAAAATTTTAAAATGTCCATAGAAATATGTATTGAAAGCGTAATTTCCTATTAGAGATAGCAAATTTATTAAAATTTCTACTACTTTTGTTTTTTTTATAAAATATTAACTAAAATTTTAAAATGTCCATAGAAATATCTATTGAAAGCGTAATTTCGTATTAGAGATAGCAAATTTATTAAAATTTCTACTACTTTTGTTTTTTTTATAAAATATTAACTAAAATTTTAAAATGTCCATAGAAATATCTATTGAAAGCGTAATTTCCTATTAGAGATAGCAAATTTATTAAAATTTCCACTACTTTTGTTTTTTACAAAATATTAACTAAAATTTTAAAATGTCCATAGAAATATCTATTGAAAGCGGAATTTCCTATTAGAGATAGCAAATTTATTAAAATTTCTACTACTTTTGTTTTTTATAAAATATTAACTAAAATTTTAAAATGTCCATAGAAATATCTATTGAAAGCGTAATTTCCTATTAGAGATAGCAAATTTATTAAAATTTCTACTACTTTTGTTTTTTTTATAAAATATTAACTAAAATTTTAAAATGTCCATAGAAATATCTATTGAAAGCGTAATTTCCTATTAGAGATAGCAAATTTATTAAAATTTCTACTACTTTTGTTTTTTATAAAATATTAACTAAAATTTTAAAATGTCCATAGAAATATCTATTGAAAGCGTAATTTCCTATTAGAGATAGCAAACTAATTATTAAAAGTTCTACCGCTTTCGTTTTTTATAAAATATTAATTAAGAATTTAAAGTACCCAAATATTTATGATATTTAACTTTTATCTATTATTGCATAAATTAAATCACATTACAAATTTCGGTATATGTTATACACGAGTTCTTCTTTTTTATTATGTTACCTAAGTATTAAATTATTCAGTATAAAAATTTAATATCTATATCAATACCTTTTGCTTGGTTAAGACTTGTTGTTGTTGGGGTTTCTTCTTGTTGCCGAGCCCATACGTGCTCATGATTGAAGGGGAAGGAATTCGTCTCTTTTGACGGAGCATCCGTAGGTGCATCTGACTTTGGCTGCCGTGACGCTTTTACAGTCATAGAAGACCGGGACCACGGCTGGTTCCGAACCACTACAAACATCCATGGCACCGCCGGGTCGAAGCGAAACCTGTGGCACGGAGCGCCAGAGCGCTAGACACTCGGCCATTCAGGTCCCAAATTTGTGAATGCCAACGGCACGCGGTTTAAGGTGGTCACCCACCCAAGTACTAAACGCACCCAATGATGCTTGACTTCGGTGATCTAACTAGAACCGGTATATTCAGCATGGTACGGCCGTTGGTTGATAAGACTTTCTGACAACTAGGCAGGACTGCACTAATATTTAATACATGGGATCAGTAATTCGTTACTTTTGTTGTTGTTCTAATGCATCTGCCAATGCAGAGACAGTTAATTTTTATCTCATAAGTAAGGACTGTACCACTGTTACTCATTTACACTACCCAGGGGGCACATGTAGCTTGAAGATATGCTACGGACGCGAGTAGCACTATTCCCACAACGCTCTACGATCCTGTTAGACCGGGACCTATGGTTTAAAGTAGATTTCGAAGCACTACAAATATCCATGGCACCGCTGGTACTTGAACCCGAAGCCTATGGTACCGAGTGCCAGAGAGATGGTCACTCAGGCCATCATGCCCCCCTTCCCTCGTTACTTTTGTTTGATGTCTCATTTTTTAAGTTGACTGTACCACTGTTACTCATTTACACTACCCAGGGGGCACATGTAGCTTGAAGATATGCTACGGACGCGAGTAGCACTATTCCCACAACGCTCTACGATCCTGTTAAACCGGGACCTATGGTTTAAAGTAGATTTCGAAGCACTACAAATATCCATGGCACCGCCGGTACTTGAACCCGAAGCCTATGGTACCGAGTGCCGGAGAGCTGGTCACTCAGGCCATCATGCCCCCCTCGTTACTTTTGTTTTATGTCTCATTTTTTAAGTTGAGGACCATTTTTCCCCATAGATTAACAAAATGTTTAATAAAAAGACGGTGGAAATGAATATTCTCTACAGAAATATAATAGAAATTTGGTGGTAAAAATTTATCGTCACTCACGGCTCTTTTAATATAGTGACAATTTATAACAGCTGCTGACAGAGATTGCTCTGTCCTAGTTCAGCATTGTGATTTATCTTTATCTGATGAAAGCATTTATTTAATTATGAACTCTATCATTATTTTATCAGGGCCTGAATGGCCGAGTGGCTAGCGCTCTGGCGCTCGGTACCACAGGTTTCGGGTTCGAGTCCCGGCGGTGCCATGGAAGTGTGTAGTGGTTCGGAATCCACTTTAAACCGTAGGTCCCGGACTAACAGGATCGTAGAGAGTTGCGGGGGCATTGTTACTCCACGTCCGTGGCTTATCTTCAAGTTACACGCGCCCCCTGGATAACGCAAAGTGAGTAACGTCTGTGCAGCGCTTGCCTTAAGGCATCCAAGACCAAGCTGTCTAAGTGTTTGCCAGCTGCATTAGAAAGAAGAAAAAAAACGTTATTTTATCCATCTTTTTTTTTTCACATATCTTGTTATGTTCAATGTCATACACTCAAGAGCCAAAACATTATGACCGCCCCTACATTTTGCAATGAACACGCCTGGATGACGTGGTAGGCACGTGATCAGGTGGAAGGGGTATTTAACTGGTATTAATCCATGCCAAGGCGGGTTGAAGCTGTGTTGCGCACCAAAGGTGGGCCAACTCGTTATTGACAGGGGGTCATAATGTTTTGGCTCTTGAGTGTATTGTAGGGAGCTCTAGCCTTTTTACAATAGATTATGAGAAAAAGAATTATTTTCGGTAATTTCTCTTATAGGAATAATACAATTACAATAAGGATGAATATAAATGAAACAAACTTCCTCTCTTAATTTTACTTTTTTTTATAACACTTATCTTCTTTTTTTTTATAACTAACACTTATCTTATTCATCGGTAACTCTTTCAATTGCAAATCTAATTTACCTACTGAGCCAACGGACTCTAAATCTACAACCAAAGACAGTACAAAAATTAAAATTGTAGTGTGCAGGTTGGGTAATCAAATTGTAATTCGGTGTGGTTGGCTTGAGATACTTGAGGCCCAGATTGGAGAATTCAGAACTTTATTTACACACGCAAAAACACCCCACACATACAATTAGAGACATGCAATATTTAGCACATTTAAAGATTGATAATTTTAGATTCGTGAAAGGATTCTACTACTACTACTACAACAACAACCCCACAGCACATCACTGAGCCTAAAGCTGAGTTGCCCCTGTACAGTTTAGAAATGATGTGCGTGGAAGAATTCCACTTCTAAGCTGAAAACCCGACACTCAGCATATATGAAATATGTTTCCTCCCCGGGTGAAGCCTCATGGCCTGATGGCCAATTGCTAGCGATCTGACTTTGGTACTACATGCTTCAGGTTCGAATCCTAGCAGTGTCATGAATGTTTGTGAGTGGTTTGGTAACCTCTTTAAACTGTAGGTCCCGGTCTAATTAGCTTAAAGTGTGCATAAAATGACCGTAGAGCGACAAAACAAACCAATCTTACTCGGTACCACAGGCTTCAGATTCGAATCCTGTTAGTCGTCCTTTAGTAGTAGTAGTGGTTAGTATTCCTTTGTTAGTGGTTCTGAATCCACGTTAAAGTGTAGATCCCCGTCTAATTAGCCTAAAGTATGCACAAAATGGCCTTAAAGCGACAAACCGAACCAAATCTCTTAATTCTAACATATTTTTAAAAAGTTATCGAAGAAAAAGTTACAAAAAATAAAGAAGCACATCATTGACGGAGTCTAGATTTTACCAACTTTAAAAGCTATTACATTATTCACATTTTGGATGATACATCCTTCCGTAAGGGGGCTTGAATGGCCGAGTGGCTAGCACTCTGGCGCTCGGTACAACAGGATTCGAATCCCGGCGGTGCCATGGATGCTTGTAGTGGTTCGGAATCCCTTTTAAACTGTCTGTCCCAGTCTAACACGACTGCGGAGCATTGTTGCGGGCTGACAATCTTATCCTCGTAAAAAAGAAGACATCTCATGTTTCGAAATCTGGCAGACGGCCTCGGCCCGCCATGGGGCTGTTGCGCCAATCATGATGATGAATTAATCTTGAATATTATACCAAATAATCCATTAAATTGTAAGCCCTTCTTTATAAACTTTTTCTTTTTTTTAATAATCTAATACATAAGCCCGAAAACATCTATCGCTTCTGATTCTGCATGTAATTAAATACTCTTAATCTATAAAATTAAACGAACATGAAATATTGTGTAAAATAAGAAAATTTATACTCGGTAATTGAAAAAAAAATTGGGGTCTGATGGCCGAGTGACCAGCACTCTGGCATCTTAGGTTTTTAGGTTCAAGTCCCGGTGGTGCCTTGGATGCATGTAGTGGCTTAGAATCCACTTTAAATCGTAGGTTAATTTATATCCTTAATTTTCTTTTTTGTAAACAGAATTCCGTATGTATATATATATATATATATATATATATATAATGCTTGTAAAGTGTTCCCATCAATTTGAAAATGGTCTTCTTCTTGAAGCCGTTGCTGTGACTAATCCTCAATATCCTGCAGTGCGGGACGGGCATCCCATGAGTGATCTACCCATGGGTGGAGGGAAAGGAGGCAGCTTCTGTTGTGATGGAGCACCCGTAGGTAGAAGTCTGACTTTGCTCCGTGACGCTCTTGTAGTCATGTGAGACCGGGACCTACGGCTTAAAGGCGATTCCGAACCACTACAAACATCCATGGCACCTCCGGGACTCGAATCCGAAACCTGTTATACCGAGAGCCATCAGGCCCCTGCAACAGATGAGGTTTTGGTTTGGTTTGTCGCTCTACGGTCATCTTATACGCACGAGGGCTAAACAGACCGTGACCTACAGTTTAAAGTGGATTCCAAACCACTACAAACACCTATAGCATCGCCGGGACTCGAACCCGAAACCTGTGGTACCGAGTGCCATCAGGCCCCTGCAGCAGATGAGGTTTGGTTTGGTTTGCCGCTCTACGGTCATCTTGAGCACACGAGGGCTAAACCGACCGGGACCTACAGTTTAAGGTGGATTCCGAACCACTACAAACACCCATAGCATCGCCGGGACTCGAACCCGAAACCTGTGGTACCGAGCGCCAGTCACTCGGCCATTCAGGCCCGCAGTAGATTAGGAGATAAATACAGTACATCAAAGAGCAGCAAAATAGACAAAAGAAAACTTGTCCAAAAAGTAAATGGAAAAAAATAAACAAAAAAAAATGTATTTTGTTTACAGGCGAAAGTGCGAAAAATGATTCATCATGGCGCCTTGGTTGCGCAAGCATCCGCTAGCTTCTATCTTATTTAAGTAGAAAGATGTTGAAGAAATGCTTTGCAGGAAAAGAACGGGTTAGACTAATAGGAAGCTTACCCAATATATTCTAAAAAAAAACTATTATACAAAAATACTTTAATATATATATATATATATATATATACTACTGTGTCCAAAAAGTAAGACCAATTTTCAATTTAAAATTCCCAGGGCCTTTCGAATTTCATTTTTTTTTTTTTAAGTTGTTGGCACTGTCCTTGACATCTGTGTGAAAATTGTCGTCAAAATATTCATTAGTGTTTGAGTTACGCTTGAGACGCTAAAACTGATTCCGGCGATTTTTGAAATGTCTGATTTAATTGAGCAAAGAACTTGCATTCAATTTTGTTTGCAGAAGGCATTCGGTGAGACTTCCAATATCGGAAGGAAATATTTGGAAGTGGTATAAGCAGTTCAAAGAAGGCAGAGAACGAGTTGATGACGAACAGCCCTCTGGTCGACCATCCACCTCAACCGACGAAGCTCGCATCCTAAAAATTAAAGATTGGGTGCTTGCAAACCGTTGATTTACAATTAGAGACTTGCTGATAATGTTGGAATTTCAAAAGGATCAGTCATTTCCATTTTGGGCCTCAAACGCGTCAAATCTCGATTAGTACCGAAAAGATTGAATGCGCCAGCTCACACTGCATTGATTCTTTATGACTTTTTCGCCAAAAAATGAAACCCATATCGCTCCACAACCACCGTATTCACACCGTGTGACTTCTGGCTACTTCCCTAAACTCAAAAGACCAGTTCGGGAACATTGTTTTGAATCGATTGAAAAGATTCAACGTGAATCGGTGCTCGCTTTGAAGGCCATCCCTGCAGATGACTTTTTAGCATGCTTTGAGGATTGGGAAAAAAGTTGGCATAAGTGCATTGTGTCCGGAGGGGATTAC